AAACACACATTTCAGCTTATTCAATTTAAATACCCTTATTAATAGATTTAACAAAGCATTTTTCGTTTTTAAATCTGAGTCCTTCTCCTCACATACTTTTATCTCTATACCTTTATGCAAACTTTTATTTAGAAAATCCTGAGCCTCAGAACTGAAATGAAACATCTGAGGAGCTGAACTGTCGGGTGCCAACCTGGGGCAGATGCTGGGGCGGCTGTGAGCGCGGGGTTCCAGATGTGACTGCGGAGTGCCAGCTGTGAGCGCGAGGCGCCAGCTGTGGGCGCTAGGTGGCAGCGGTGACCGCGCGGTGCCAGCGGTGACCCAGGGTGACAGCGGCGACCTTGGGGCAGCGGCGCTGAGCCCCCACCCCTGAGCGGGGGCCCCGAAGCAGGGGCAGTGGGCAGCGCTGGCAGGACCCTGCGGGCTGTGCCCATGGGAATTGCTGGGCTGGGCAAGGTGAAGTTCTTGACTCCAATCTGTTGCAAGAAACAGCGTTTTACTTGGGAGCCTGTGCTAACCTCCTGCAGCAAACGGTCCAAAAGTGATCACCACCCTCATCAGTCCAAGGTCAAACAGACACAATATCCAGAGGCTGAGTTACCCACCCCAGACCCAGACCTAGTCTTTAGGAGCCCATGTTGGATTTTTATCCCATATTTTGGAATCATGTGCTGCTCAATAATGTGAAGGTTGCTTGGCCCTTGGTTCCACCAGCAGCATTTGTTCCTATCATACAGACAAGGCATTTCCACACCTTCCCTGCTCCTTCAGCTCCTTCAGGCTGCAGAGCCCCACAGAGCCTGTGCAGACCCACATGCACCCATATGGGGGCAAGGTACTCTAAGGAGCACACAAAAACACATACATGGATCTGTGTCCACTAAGTTATCTGAAGTCAGCAAGATACAGTGCTCACAGACCATAAAAACATATAAAGCCTGGGATGCCTGAGGAAAAATCCAACAGACATCCCTTATCCCAAGCTGATTTAATCAGTTAATGCAGATAGACCATGAAAATGTCTGATTTACAGCCAGAACCACAGAACCCACATGTCAAATCCTTAGATCCTGTCTGCAGAGTACACGTGCAAGGTACACTCAGCAAGATCACTGAGATGGCTGTCACTAAAAGGGTTCACCCTGCAAGGCTCTCTGCCTGGGCATGTAGACCTCAGCAAAGTGCTCTCCCTGTTTTGGCCAGGCCCCTCATCTGCATTGTGCCACTCACCCTCAGTTCCTGTTGATGTTCTGTTTCAGCACCTGCAATGTCTGGACTGGGTTTCAGTTCTCTGCTTTGGGCGTGGCTCTGGCATGTCTGATGGACCAGTGTTCAAAAAGGTTCAAAATTCATAAGCTGCTCAAAGAGCATGTTGGCTCTCAGCACTCTAACACAGCCTTGCACCTTCATTTCCTTTTACTGGGACTTGGGCAATTTGCAGCAAGGGGCATGAAGTTATGAGAGAGTGCAGGGAAGAATGGTTATGTACAGCCAGGCAATAGCAAGTTCGTTCTTTATGTGTTAGCTCCCATGCTTGTCTTTTTTCTTCCTTTAAGGTATCAAACCCTTAAAAAAAATCAGTATCAGTTTTCTCAGGGCTTCTGGTGTATCTGTCTGTCACCTGAGAGCTCAGGGGAGAATTACTCACTTGAAAGGGTAAGATGTGGCTTTTCAGCTCTGCTCTAGAAAGTATTTAATCATACATAGCTCCTGCCCCACTTTGTTAGCTGAAACACTCCCAAGCCAGTGTCGAGAGATCAGGTTCCTGCAGGCAAAGAAGTGAGCAGGACTTTTCAGGTCAATCTACCAGGAATGCTGTAGTTTGTGTGCCTCAGTAACACATTACATTAGGATGTATAATTTCCTCATTTTAGTTCAGTCTCATCATCTTAGGATCTTGTTAATTTGAAAAACAGCTGTTGAAAACCATCAATTGGATGAGAAGCAAATGACCATTTTTCTTGGTGACAGGAAACAACTGGAAAGACAAATGTGGATCAGCTGTCTCCTTGGTTTTATATGTAATTTCTGCCTTTCCTTGTCTGCCCTCTCAAACTCTGTTGTCAGCAGTAAGGGGAATACAATATTATAAAACTGAATGTAAATCTGCAGTGGAAAGCAAGAAGAACGTTTAGTGAAAACACAGAGAATTATTTCAGCTTTACCACATGGGATTCTGTTTTCTGTGTGTCCATCTGGTTCCACAGCAACTGGAGGTTCTGGCCAATTTTTCCAAGCCAAACTGAAATTCCACAGTTCCTTCTGGTTTTGTGGAAAATAGCAGCTGGCTAGAAGAGAAAAACCCCTTTTGATGGGAAGACAGATTATTCATCCCTGGGCTGGGCTGTGGGGCCAGTGGCTGGTCACCCCACGGGTAACTGTGCAGCATTACCCAGCTAGATACCTAAATATAGTATGGGGACATGCATTATGAGGAGCTATAGGAGGAAAAGGAGAGGGGGAGAGGTACTGGGGACTCTCTGGGGCTGTGGGAGGATACAGTGAGCTGCAAGACATAATCCCATGCTGTCCAGAGATGGAAGGATAGGGTCACCAGTAAGCACTCTTCTGTTCTGACGCTCCTATTCTGGTTCCTACTCCTCCAATGAAATGACAATTGAAGAGGGAAAACTGAGTGACCAAGCTGTTACCACCAATCAGAAGTCAAGTCTTTCTGTGTTGGGAATGACTTTTTAGGCCTTCTTTGCTAATAAAGGAAAAGCAATACAGATTGCTTTATTTATTTTCACAAGTCACCTGCGAACATGAACTTCACACTGGTTTAACAAAATGCCAGAGCTGCCAGTCAGGACTCTTCATTAAATACCTTCCACTGTTAAAGATTAACTTGCCTTAAGACAAGGGTTTTTTATAAATTATGAAACAATGTTTCACCTAAGAAAAGAAGGAGTACAGGCTAATATGATTGTTTATATATCTGAAGACAGTGGAACTTGCCTATGTATTGCAAAGAACAGAATAATCTCCTCTATGACTCAATGATTAAACGTTTCTTGAAGTTAAAATTACAATCCTATTACACACTGAGCAGACAGTGTGTTAAAGAGTAATCTTGCCTCTGACTATAAACACCTGGGTGTAACTTGGCAGCTTCTGTGACTGTGCTGTTAAACTGTGCTTTCTATTACACAGCCATCAATTGGATTGAATGCTGGAGAAGAGTTTAAGGAGCCTGAAAAGACATAAATAGCTAAGGAATCATCTCTGTTCCACCTGCCTCCAGCATATTCTGCTCTTTTTGTGTGGGATATCACAAGTGCAAGCAGGTGCCTTCAGACAACTTTTATCACTGGCTTGTGGCAATTAAAAAAGCTGCTGTTGTAACTTTTCAAAAAAGTGAACATCATAGAAAAGAACTGAAGGATGTCCTATTCTGAATAAAAACTGAGAGATAGGCATCAAAGATGCTATTAATTCCACCCAGCCTTATCTGTCTGAAAGGCAGCTACTCTAGTCTAGCTGGGTAGCCTTCTCCTGCAAAGAGATGTTTTCTATGGAGGCTGAAGACACTGGTTTGCCCCAGCATAGTCTTTGAGTGAGATGAGATGAGTAATGTTGTGGAAAAGTTCTTCCTCTTCATATATCTAGACAGGAAGCTAAAGCAGTCAGATGAATCTCCCTCAAATGTCTACCATACCACCCCACTTTAGGCTTACATTTTCTTAGGGATGAAAATGGTGATGGTGCTCCCCATGATTAGACTTGTAGATTAGTGAAACATCACATTCAATCCTTTACTTTGATTTCCTGGTGGGATCAAAGCCAGTGGGTTTCTCACAGCAATAGCAGCAGCACGGTGGTACTGCTGCTGTTTACAGCAAGTCAGGTGGGCAAGGTTCATGCTGGGGTCACTGCATTGTTATAAAAATACACCCAGCAAAAAGAAACATTTTACTAAATCATGGGAGAGGTGTGTAAAACAGACAAATAAGTGAGAACTGGAGAACAGCAGGACAAACCAGTACTGAGACCAGGTTCTCAGATATCCCCAGCCATGCACTCAGTATGGCCAACAATTTGGCAGTGTGTTCTGGGCCTGTTTCCAGAACTAAACGTAAAAGAAATACCTGTAGAGGATATGACTGTGACTCTGTAGATTTTGTCTGATTTTGTGAGGAGTTTGCATGGCCACAAATTTTGATGCATCTGGAGTTTGCATCTGGCAATTAATGTCAGATGTATGAAAAGCACATGATTTGTATCAGCAGAGCAAAGGTTGTGCTCCATGACATGGTGGTTGAATCTATTCTTGAACTGGACAGGGCTGATGTGTGAAGGATGTAATTCATAGCTTCAGACAAAGTGGACACTGATGAAATGGTAATTTTTATGCTATAAAGACTGATCAGGGTGATTATCAGGTGAAATAATTTATTCAGACATTGGCACTTCAGAGTGATTTGGTGTCCAAGTACTGTTGTGATATGAAAGGGACAAGGCTGCAACAGCCAAAGAAGAACAGGACAAGATGCAGGAAAATGCATCTTCTGCACAGTGCAGAAAAGCAAGTGGTTAATGAAAGCTTGTATCTTGTAGATGGAGAGAAAAGAAGCTTGCTCTTTGGAGAGAAAAGAGGCAAAGTACAAACATTGTACGCTGGAGGGATAATAGAATATCAACCTGCAGCCTTTCACACCTCAGAAATGTAGAATGCCTTCAACAGATGAAGCAGAAAATAGGTGCCATCAACCTAAAACTCTTTATTGCCATACTATTAAAAAAAAATCCCCCAAACCATCTGAAGAATAAAGTAATAAATTTTTTCATATAATTTTCACTTATGGGAAAAATTCATATTTTGTTCTAGTCTTTGAAAATAAACTTTAAGCTGACATGTTAATTTATTAAAATACATTAAAAGTATTTTTGAAAACTAGTCCTGTTGCCTATTCCGTAGAGCAGTGTACATACAAACAATTTCTGAGACCTCTGAAATGGTAGTTATTGTCTTTCGCTGAATGTAAGGAAGTTTAATGATGCTAACAGTGAAACCAGCTATTACTCTTCATTTCCCTGATAACTTTTTTAGCAACAGGGTCAAACTCCCATTGTTTCGGTCCATGAAAGAAGTAGAATAATCCTGGAAATGAAAAAGTAAACATTATGTTATGGATACAAGAAATAGCTTCATTCTGACAAATCCCCTTCATACACACTGGAGAGCATCTCTTCATTTCTGTCTTTTGCAGGATGCAGCAATAATGACATTCATCATAGTTTCAGAACTTATGATCTTTAGAACTAAACTGATTTTACATAAAGGCTTATTTCATTTACCTTTCTCTTGAAAAACAGCATCAACTCTCTGACCAATTCCTGGAAATTCATCGACTGTCAGTCTAGGATAACCCTTCTCCATGGACTGGCTGTTTTCATCAAACCTAAATCATACGAAGGGAGACATGCAATTTTCCAGAGTTTAGACTTCAATTCTGCACAGAGTTTAGCAGCTTTTAAAATATGCCCACCCATCTGCAATTTAGTTGGTTTCTCTGGGGTTGCAAGAGAAAGTTGTGTTATTTACTTCCACGCATGGCTGCAGGATGCTGGCCACTGTGTTTTCCAGGAGGTTGTTTCTTGTTTGCTGATAAAGGTAAACACTTCCAAAGAAGCATCTTAAGTGAGAAAAATGGGAGGAAGACTCACATTTTTGACTCCAGGGATGGGATTTCCCTCCTCCAATGATAACAGTGTGACAGTGCATGGAAACTGGACGGATTCATTCTTGCTATAGCACATACTTATAGCATGAATTTTGACTCTTCCTCTCAGACTTTGATAAGATATTGTACATAGTCCTCTACTAGCTGACAAATTTAGATGGTGGCAAGGAATGTGGCTTATTTCTAATACATCAAGTTCTTCCCATGTGAGCCAGGACAATTTTTATGAGATAGGACTAAATTCAGGGGACTTGAAAGGAGAACTTGAACTGTTCTTCCAGATTTGAGGAACCCTCTCAGGGGAAAAAAACCCAAAACAAACCAAGCAAACAAAGCCTTTGTTTCACTTCTCCTTGGATACAAGAAATATTTTTCACAGGCATCTGAGGCTGAGAGAATGAGTTACTAGGTAAGAAATGCATGTTGTGGTTTACTTGCATGCTGTTGTCTTGTGACCAAGGCAGTAAAAGAACAATGCAAGATATTGTAAACACTCTACCCAAATTAATCAAAACCAAAAAACAGGAAACCACAGGAATCTCAAAATCCAGATGACACTGTATGTATCACTGAGGAACCCCACAGTTAGTCACAATAAAGTCTGTGTGGACCATGCTTGCCCTGGTTCAGTCCTCTGGTTGTCTGAGGACCTTTGCAGCCACTGTTCTTGCACACAGAAGGAATCTTTCAGCTTCCCAAAGCTGACTTCTTCTTCCCCTGCCTGCTCTTTGGGTATCAAGACTCACTCATGCCAGTTTGGGAATAGGATTTGGAGGGAACCTACAGTTACCTGAAAGGTCTACTTTCTCTTTTATCACAGGTTCACTTTAATTTTTATTCAGATTATATTTGAGTTATTAATAGGAAAACATTTGTCAATTCTTCTTACCTCCAGTACTTGTCACCTATGAAAAAGTCTGTCTTCCCTGTATTTTTATTACAAACAGCTGCATCAACTTTCTTGACACCTTTAGGGAAGCCCAGTGTGTTGATATTCTTTGGATAACCAAGCAACACCTGATATCCGCTGATAACCCAGAATTTGTTGCCTGTTAAGACAAATTAAAATATTTAGTTCTGCCAGTCATTTTCAGACAGTAAATTACAAAATGCACTCCTTTATTGTAGGTTGTAGAAAAATAGATTAAATATTCTGAGTTTTTATTTTATCTATTTGAAAAATATATTTTATGTACACATCCCTTCTGCCCACATAATTAAATTAAGAAAAAAAAATTAGCTAAAATCTCATACTTCACCTTTGAAAAGCAGGATCTGATCTTTTGTGTTCTCATATGCAGCTTCAATACCAGGAGGCAGATTTGGCCAGAAGGCAGAAATTAATTCACGTTCAGCTTCTGAGTTATCAGGATATACCCGCCATAAGTGCCTGATTTAAATATGAAACAGGTTTGCAGTACATAACAAACCACAGAAACTTCTGTGTGTGCAAAAGAATGTGAGCAACATTGTGACTTACAAGCTCTTTCTTGTCAGTGGAGCTACCTGGCTTGATGTGTCAGAAAGGAAATAAGTCCCCGGACTGGGAAGTGTCTGGGTTTTTTTTTATTCTATCTTCATGCTGGCATTTCATTGATACTGATTGATAAATGATCAGTTATAAGCAGTTGGATATGTCAAGTTGCATAGTGAGAGGTTTATAGGAGCCCAGGTAGAACTTACTGTAACCTCTTCAGCAGATGAATTCCCCAGATGATTTTGGGCTTGCAGAGGGGATTGGAGGAGAGATTGGCTTAACTGTATGGTCAAACGTTTTTTAGTTACCTGGATTAGTAAAATTAAGTCACAACTCAGTGTAACCATCTATGTGTGCATTTGGGAATAAGGTCTCATTGGGATTGAGGTTTTTTCTGGAAAAAAATGAAGCCATTTTTTTCAGGGGATCCTGTAAAATATTAATACAACTAATATCTGCTAAAACTTTTATTTCCATGAATTGAAATACTTTTTTCTCATTGTAAATGCTGTAAACATGTGAACCACAAAAGTATTCAGTCTTTGTATAAATCAAGAAAAATTAAATCCCATGCAGACAAATGTCCCATCAGTATTTACCTGCCCTTTAGAAAAATGATTTCTTGTCGGAGTGTAGTTACAGCATCAAAAGATATCTGGGAGCCACAGATTTCAGGCGAGGTAGGGGTCGTTGGCCTTTTATCGGGGGCATTTGGTGGGGATCCTGAGGGAGAAATTTTGGAAAGATTACACCTAATTGTAGAAATATTAGGGTTTCCACACCTTGCTTTTTTTAATATTATGCGGATATTATTAAGTTTATGGTGAAACTTTGTGAAAGAGATTATTTCTCCTCTGCTTACCTTTTTTTTTAAAGCCATGGATTTTACTCACCATAAATTGATTGAATGCCACTTATATCATCTGGAGAGAGGGGGAATTCACTGGGGCTGACGTAGGCATAATTGGGGAACATGAGAGCTCTCTGATCATTAGAATGGGAGAGACCCAGGGCATGGCCAAACTCATGAGCAGCAACAAGGAACAAGTTGAACCCTTATGAAATGGATAGAGAGAAGAGATCAGTCAAATTTTACTCTGTAAATGGCTGATATGATCACAGCATCAGGCTATTGCTCAGGCACAGTTTTCATACAATATATTGACCTTCACTAGGGAATGCATCTAGGTGAACATGTTTTTGTATAAGACAAGATTGTGGTCTTCTCCCAGTAGAAGGGAGAGACTTTTGACCCTCTTGCTTTCTGTTAGCTACTGAAAGTGTGTGTGTGTCACGGGTAGATATCTGGGGGTGAGTGTGGGTGCAGCTCTTTGGAATGTCCTGGCAGGGTTTCCTGGCTGAGGTAGAACAGATTGGATAGTGAGTCAGATCAAACTAACAGCTCTCCAGGGCAAGGCAGGAGGACACACTCTGTGCTCACTGCAGGTATCAAAGTGTCACTCTGTGTGTCACTCTCCCTCCTACAAACCTGAGAAGGAAAGGTGAGATCATGAATAGACAAGGAAAAATAAAATAGTAGCAGAACGCTTTACCTTTTTACCATTGGGACTTTAAAGCATATGGTTTCTTAAGAGATTTATGAAACAAAATAAATTTTTAAAATATTATGCTTCTGCATGCTTATCCCCAGTCAAATATGTTAACAAAATAAAGAAATAAAAATGAAATTTCCTTCAACATGTGTCCCTCCAAGTAAGACACCTTTCTGAATTAGGGAAGAATGATCATCTGTCCTGCAGACCAAGATCCAGAAATGTCAACAGATTTAATGAAGAGCACAAGTCTGTGGCAGAGGAGAGGACTGGGCATGGATTGCCCAAGAAAGGCTGGCTGAAGCCAAGACATTCATTTCTCAAGAACCCAAACAAAATAAAACCTCATTTTTTCCACACATATTTCCAGTCAGTCCTCCCCTCTCACGAGTCTTCCAGTGCTCCAAGTTCTGCAATGTCTGGCTGCTGGAGCTGTGCTGCTGAGGAACAGCAGAAAACATGTGGTTGACCCACTCAGTCCCAGTGTGGGGAGAACGTCACATTTAATCATGTGACATGTCCAGCACTCATCCCTATCTTTTTTTCCCACCTCAATAAACCCACAGTCTCCTCCTTGTGTAGTGGTTTTACAGCACTTCTCTGTTCATTAGTGCCTTGCTCTTCCTGACCTCAGTTCTCTTGTTGCAGCTTTCCACCCCAAAAAGTGGATGAGAAAAGGGTCTAAAGTAGCAGAGGGTAATGTGCCAGAGGCAGTAGGTGCTGTACAGCCAGCCTGGAGGCTGAGCACAGCAGACATCCCCAGACAGATTGAGCCTGGGCACTCAGAGTTCCCCTCTCTGCTGCCTATTGTTGAACCTACCCTGGAATTTTTAGTCAGCTCTTCATTATCCCTGGTGGCTGTATTGATTTTTAGGTAGTGGGGATGTCCCACATTAACTGCTGCAAAGCACAGGCCACGGCAGTGCCAGGCCTGGTGTGCACCAGCGGGGAAAAGAGAAAGCTTTTATCAAGGCTTGTGAAACTCTGGGCCACCACCAGTCCCCAGGTGCTGTGTCTGTGGCATTGCTACCTGAAAAGGATTGTCCTGTTGGTATTTTTACCAACAGGACTAATTAGGGACTAATTAAGGACTAGAGTAGATCAAGGTGTTTGTGTCTGTGTCACTGTAAGTATCCCTGTTAGTGAACAGCCTGCAATATCCTCAAACTGCTCTTATAGTTAATACAGTGTTTCATCTCAGTCTCTTCCTTCACTTAAATAAAATCAGAATGAAATTTATTCATCTGCATAACACTTTATAAACCATTTTTGAACCTACCAGCTGAGCCTGTGGTCCAGTCTTCATCCTCGTCAAAGTGCACATCACCGCCTAAACCATTGCCAGGTGGAAAGGCGTGAGCCAGAACTCCAAGGGGGCCATCAAAATAGCGAGGGCAATGTCCATGAACTAAATAACATGAAGTTGATACAACACTAAGCTTAGATAATGACTATTGAAAAATATATTAATTAATTTTAGCATTGAGTGCAGTATTCATTTTACCTTTGGTCCCAAAAGCAATCATCACATCTGCTATTCCCCTATGAATGCGAGTGAAAATCAGCGGAGTGACAGCACTCCACACTTTAAACGCCTTCTCAACTGCTTTATCCACATCCTCCTTGCTCATATCTGGTGTGTAGTTCACAATTCTACAGTTATGAGAATTCAAGCATAATATTTAGTATTTGCAGGAAAAGGAAAATCCCTAACATGGTTAAGAAGATGAACATAAAATAAAGAAACAATGTAACCTGTAAACAAATAGTTCCCAAGATTCATCTCGGGCTGAGCAAGTTTGATATGTAAATACAGAGTGTGTTTGAGTATGTGATAACTGTCCAACATGTCTTTTTCATAATAGTTGTGTACACATTATTGATTTTTTCTTAAAATGGGCCTTAGCCAGGAGGTTGCCCCTTGAGCATGAGGAAAGTTGTCTCTTCAGATTTCTGTGACTACTCCACTGTGGTCTCAGCAAATTTTAAAGAAAACGAGGCTTGTCCAGGGTGCAATTGATGTTTCTGTTTGGCTTACAGAATATTTGTCAGGAGTGATACATGACAGGCAAAATACTATGGTTGAACCAGTAAATGTAAAATACCCAGCTTGATTTTCAGAAATTCCTTTCAGAAGCATGCCTGGCTAACAGCTGAGGAGAGAGAAATTTTTTTGTATTCCCAACAGGAAACAATTGTTATAGAAGTTATATTTAAGTATAACAAATTTGGATACCCACAAATCTAAAATTTAAACTCAAAAAGTAATTATACTACCTGTATGTCAGTTTGGTTTTTTTCCATCCGGGCAGGGTGAAGCCATAGAGACCCACATCAGGAACCCCACACCTGGGTTTCTTCATCATTTCCAGTGTCTCATTATCCAGTTTCCCTGTCACTTTCAAACCAAAATATTGTTGCATTTTCTGAAGCTTTTCAGCTGCAGATTCTGCATTTATTTTCCATCCAAGAAGTTGATTTGGATCTGGCTCAACAGCAAAGAATTTATTCAAGTAGTTCTAGTGAAAAAAAAAAAGTGACATGTTTCACATTTTGATCTGTTTCTTGAACAAATAAATACCTTAGGACTGATATTGTTTGTGTAGGTTGCTGGCAAAACCTTCTTGTGATTTTGGAGCACAACAGATGTTTTCATGACGATCATAGCTAAACAGAAACAGACAACATTGTCCTGACTCTTATCAACTTGACATTTCCAGTTTGTACAGATTTATCCTACTTTAATATAAAGTTCGAGCAGCAGAGCTCTATGCAATAGCATTGTCTCAGAAACGCAGCAAGTTAAAAATAGAGGGCTCATTAGATCCCAGATATGGACAACGCAGTTACCTGTACAAGCTTTGCATCTTCTTCATTGTCTTTCTCTGGGTGGAAGGGAAGAGCGCTAGAAACAGCTGTGCATATCACAAGCCAAAGTGAAAGAGCCTTCATTTTTCCTCTCATCCCTGTCCTGGTAGGAGAGCTGTCTGCTTTCTGCTCCATGTGCCTCCTTTCTCGTGTCCCAGTTTGTATGGTTATGGGGTGCTCTGGAGAGTCAGCTGTAGACTGACTCAGAGCTCATCATGCTCTGATTCCCCCCACACAAGTTATAACACTGTGCAGACTAACACAGTAAAACTTAATTGAACCCATCCGACTTCACAGTCATCTGAAGTCAGTTGGGATTTGAATCTGTCTAAGCAGATTGGCAACCCTTTCAAAACTGGCACTCAATTTCAGTTATTTTACACTGACTTTGACAAACCTGAGCAATTTCATGCCAGATTAAGTGGTGGGCAAATGCAAAACCTTTTAAGTTGTCCCAATACACCTGTGTGAATTGGGACCACCGAATGTCAGGGTACTCTACATTCTCCACCTAGAAAATGGGAATTGTGCATGAGGTATGAATCCCATAAAAAAGAAAACAGAACAGACTTTGGGAGAAATGACTGTAAGCAGAATATTTTCTTTTCAAATTGATTTATGATGGAAAATGCCAATTCCTTACCCACCTCTTTCTGGCAATTTTTTAAAACAGTGTGTTTCTTTTAAATTATTCTGGTGGAATCCAAAATATGCATAAATGAGCCTTATAAATTGAGCCTAACAAATGTGAATACTATTATATTTCTCTATCTATCTATCTATCTATCTATCTATCTATCTATCTTTCTGCCATTTCATCACTAAAGGGTTTTTTTCAGTTTAACCACATTAGCCACAGGGCATATGATTATTTCCTGTCTTAAGTAATTCAGAATAAGGGAAGTTTCAAGAGTCACACAAGCTGTGACAAATTGTGGGATTTCACCCTGTTCCAGCCAAGCACCTTCCTCTTCCACTGGCAGCAAAGGGAGATGAAGGTGTTTAGCACCCCAGAGGAGCTCTCGCAGCACATACTCAACTTTTACAAAACTGTTGAAAGAAATGCCTTCGCGTTGGACCGTGGCTTTTTCAGGAAACCCATGCTTCTGGTTTTTGGCTTTTTTGCTGTCCCTTCCAGCCAAATTTTCTCCTGGAGGCATTAATGGTGAATTTTTTCATCCCGATATCCTCGTTGTTAGACTTGTTGTTAAAGGCGTTTCTCAGATACTTAAAAAAAACCAAAACAGCAAACTCTTCTCTTGATTATTATAATTGCATTGTATGGGTCCCATTCAGTTCTGTCTTTATTTTACCATATTGATTAGATTTTTTGTTGATATAATGCAGATTTAGACAGCTACATAACAGACATCCATGTTGTGAACAATTAGGAATGTTGAGTCCCTGCTGTTATAGTGTTAAGGTCATGACCATGCTGCAGCACTATTTCTGGTTCCTTGGACGCTCTGTGTAACATGGTCAGTACTACTGATGTGATAGACAGTCAGCTTTCTCAGTTAAAGCAGGAGTCACATTGCTCCTGCCTTCTAAGAGGAGAAAAGAAGTCATGGGGTAGTTCAATATCTACCAACTCTAATAAATGTCAAAGATAAGCATTAGGAAACCGTAAGCAGAAGCTACTTTATACAGCTTCTTCTTTTCCCAGACCCCAGGGCCAGCTACAGACGTGCTTGTGAAACATCACTTGTGAACATTTTCCGGTCTCTCTCCCTTGGGAAGTGGGAACTGGCTGCTGAGTTGTGTAGATCGCCATGTTGCAAAACCCTGGTAGTGTTTTCTGTGATGTATATCTCCATCATTTGTCACTCAAATGTCTTCTGAGCAAACACAAATGTTAGCTGAAACTAAAAATATAGTCTAAATTAGAGATTTCAACTTCTCTAGATTGAATGAAGCCACCATAGATGACCCTATTTTAAGTTAGTCGGTTGAATCACTCTCCAGAGATAAGTATTTCTCTGTTTTCTGTAGAAGAAAGCTTAATTAATAAATGCATAAAGTTAGATGAGCTGATCTTAACCTAGCTGCTCTTATTGTGTCTCTATCCTTCACTGCTACATGGCAGACAGCTGTGGGGATCTGATAGCCAGCCACAGTGGGAAGCAAGAAAAACATCTTTCCCAGTTCATATCAAATCTGCCCATAGTTCTTGATTTTCCTATAAAATTAAATTCATGTCAACTGAAACATGTTTTCCAAAAATGTATTCTAGTGCCATGGGAAAATATGTTTGGTGCAAAAGCCCTGAACAGCATTTGTCTTTTGTGACATATGCATGAACGTAATCCAACTGTAGCACCTCTAGCTTTGAAATGTTTGAGACAAACAAATGTATCAATTTAAAAATGTAAGACAGATCTCTAAAAAGAAAGCCACACTGGTGGCTGGGATCCAGAACCTACAGGGGTAAGACCTGTGGCTTGTAGACTGGTAGTTGGAAGCCGGCTGGGAACCTTCAGGCACCTTAATGGCCACTGCTCCTCAGGCTCAATCCTTCCACAGAGACAATGAAATTGAATTTTCACTGAGCCTAGGTGAAATACGTGGGGCAAAGGCAAATGGTCCACGTGCTGTCTTTGACTCTTGATGGACTTTTAGCAGACTGCAGCGTGTGAGGGCAGGACCCAACCATGCCAACACAGGTCCCTAGGGACAGTGTAGTCTCTGTGGGCCTTTAGGAAGTGATGGGCTCACAGGAGTCCTGTTCCGGACCTGCATGGGTTACTAGGAGACCGTACAGAACTGCAAATGTACTAAACACATTTAGGGAATTGAATTCCTGGCTGGGCAAATCTGTCTTACTGATGACATGGGCAACAATTACACACCCCACCTGTAGCAAGGCCCTGGGGAGGGGTACAGTACTTTTACATAGTACTGTAATTAGCAAATAGAGGTAAACTTATTAAAAGGCAAAAAGAAAATGACAGGCAATTTTATGGACAAAACACTCTAATTTCTAATTCCTGAAAGCTTGCTTTGTGCCTGAAGGAAGACAAGAGCAGCTGGCACCAGAGGGCTGTGCCCTCCTCCTCATGGTGTGGCTGGGATGGAGCAATTGCTGCACTCCACAGCAGAGGAAATGTGCTCTCACACAAGCACGGGGCAGATTTCTCAGGAAGGAATCACTTCATGTAGAGCTCTCGTCTTCCTGTTCATGGGAAATTCACAAAGTGAATTTCAAAACTGCGTCTGGCAACTAAAATCTGGACAGGATGTGAAAAGGCTCGGACTAAAAATATTGCATTAGAAACTTCATCCTATTTTTAACTTCTTCATATTCCATGGTCTGTAAATTACCCTTTATCTCTCTTTCCTCTAAAACATGACCACCACCTTACCCCTCATCTCCCATTTAACTTTTTCACTGCCCCATGACTGCTCACCACTATTAGCTTCTAGACGGGGACTAGCATTCTGCTCTAAATCTGGGAAGCTCTTCTGACATCACCTCAAGATCCTGTGCTTTTACTTTATATGTGCAGGGAAAATATGCCTCCAGTTTTTATTTTTTGAATATAAATTGTTCTAGTAAGAAATATTATCTTTGCTTGTAAATCTTGTGTTATATTTGTAGACCATTTCTGCTAAAAAAAGCAGAACACAACACAAAGAATTTAGATTAATGTACTTTTAAAACCCTTTTTTATTTAATTGTAATTCAGTAGCACTGGCTTACACAAGAAAATATGATTCAATACCATTGCTGGTGAGGATTGATATTAAAGAACCAGTATCTATAACACCTTGTGAGAACTGGATTCACATAAATTAACTTCTTAATTAAAGCTTTTGATTTGCTGCAATTTTTTTATTATTTTGCAATATTTTCTTAGGTTTTATAAAGTATATGATCAAATTAATTTTCAATTATACAGTTACTTATCTTTGAATAGTATTGAGACTGATCTATACTGAATTTAATAAAAATAAGAACTACTAACTCGGTTCTGTATTTATAAAGGATAAAATTCAATACCCTTTTAATACAGACAGATAAGTTTTATGACACTACGCATTATTTCCTCAAAATATAGTAACTTTTATTACCCTAACCTTAAACCTTCCTCTGAAGCCCGTTGAATTATGCAGATATAACATCTAATAAATTTTGTTCTGTTCATATGGCTTCTAATGATATCAGCTGAGCTATAAAAGACTGAAGAGAATGTGAATAACCCTTCAAGCACCACTTTAATTGAGGGCTTTTGCAGAAAATGTAGTTAAGCTGGAAATCAAGCGGTCCTTTTTATGAATCTTTCTATCAGAGGTATTTTTGGCCAAGAATTTTAATCTTTTAGGCAAACTTCTTGATTCTCTAAACCACTGGAATGACATGGGATTTAGTAAGTACTGGAGTAGTAAGAGAGTAGAAAGAGCCTTGATTACAGAAGTTTATCTGTTCATTACATGACGAACAGGTGATATTTGTTCATTATATGATGGCTACCTTTGAGAGCAAGTGACGTGTTTCTTATCTCAGAGGTAATTTCTAATCTAAATTTCTGCATTTCTGGACTTGAAACCAGTTCCTAAACCCCAAAATATGAGCATATTCCTTCTCCCCTAACCCCCTGCCCTCTTCCCATAGTTGTAAAGATGAACACCCTGGAGAGTAGTCTAAGAGGGGAAGTAGGGGAAAGAGGAACAGAAAGTGGAAGTAGATCTGTACACTGATGATAATGAGCCCCAACTAATTAACCACCAGATTTTCACCAGGGTTTGTGAGGAGTGGGGGGTTCAGAGACAAGTGTGTCCTCCTTTCTCTGTCTTTGTGAAAAAACCTGACATTTCCGGGCAGAATACATTTTTTAGTATTTGAAAACTAGACTTGCATCTTGAGCATCAGGGCAAAAACAACATCAGGAACAAAATTATATGAGAAACATAATTTATTAGGAAACTTGACCGTAACAGGAGAAGTTGTGATAAATTATATAAATTTATTTGACTTAAAATAAATAATTATTAAGAGTATACTGCCATAGAATTTGAACAGAAATCCGTTCTGACCTGAGAATCATGAAATGCTGAAAAATGCAGCAGATAAAAACATACAATGTGCACATGGAAAAACATTGCAATTAACAATTAAACCAGCTGGTGCTCTTCAT